TAGTCCTTGAAATAACATTATTATAGAGAGTCTTTATCCCCTTTTACATGAAACTTCAGAACACTTGTGCACATACATGTGTTATATTTCCAGCCATTTCTGCCGAGGTCCCAAGGAGACTATTTATTATTCCTTTTTCTCTCTCTCTCTCTCCAGATCAGTGGCCCGGCAGTCGCCGCGAGTACAAAAGGTCTACTCCCGAAGATCCGGAAACTGCCAGAGGTCAACAGCACCGAGGAACAAACGCCGGGAGATGACCCATCGTCCGCTGTGTCAAAGCCTGGGAGTGGTGGCGTGGAAAAGTCTAAGGGTGGTCAGCCGGCCAAGGGCACACATCACCCGGACACACAGGCGGGTGGTGGGCACGGCAAGGGCAAGGGCAAGGGCAAGGGCAAGGGCAAGGGCAAGGGCCCGGGCGGGAAGGGCAATGGTCAAGGAGCGGGCAACGGACATCGCGTGGTCAGGAGAAGCTTCGACTCCATCTCTCACTCCGGCCTGCGCGGCATGGAGCAGAACTTCTGGGGCCGGGTGGCCACGAGATCAGACGACAAGGCGCCCGGGTATGGCCATGTGGGGCCCGTTTATGGAAACCCGTGGAAAAGAAGTGGTTTTGGAGAGGAAGGTGATGACGATGTGGATGAGGAAAACGAAGCGGTAGAGGATGAGGAGGAAGAGGAAGAGGAAGATGGGGAACGTGAAATGAGCGTGGATGGTAGTGAGGAGATGGAGGGTGATTCAGATAACAACAACGAAGATGAGGAAGAACTTAGAGCGGAGGAGGAGGAGAGAGAAAACGGAGAGAAAGTCGAAGACGCACGGTTCCGTGACACCGTTTTGTACCCAGAGTCCTTGTCGGCCGCCATAAATCGGGACCTGGAGTTGGCGCAAACTCCCCCCGCTCCTTCCCCGCTGACTCGTTTGAGATTTGTCGTGTTCCCGCCCAGAATGAGCGCCCGGCTTGGTTTAACGACCTACAGGCCCTCGCTCTACGCTCGCCGCCGGCACGCACAGGACGCCAGGATTACAGGCAGGGTCTCCACTCGAGGGTTTGATCCCATCTCCAGGGGGCACGGGTTGACCGCTCTCAGACAAAACTTCCTCGACAAGAAGGACGCCTATGGTAGCGTGTGGCCCGTTCCGTCCTGGAAGAGAGGGTTCGATTCCATCAGCAGGGGGAAGGTGTCCGGAATCTTTCAGAATCACCTGAGTAAGAAGTACTTGGACTCTATCGCAAACGGACAGAGGCTCGTGGGGAGCTTAGGGCAGAGCTTTCTGTCCAAAAGAGGGTTCGATTCCATGGGATACAACTCCGAGATATCAGGGCTGGGCCAGAACTTTCTAACGAAGCGTCAGTTTGACTCTATCTCGGGCAGCGGTCTTGGGGGGATGGAGCAGAACTTTCTAGACAAAAGAAATTACGACAAAATCGTCGGTGAGCTATTAAACGGACTTAACGCGAAGCGGTTAATTAAAAAAGCTTTCGACAAAATTTCCCAAAGTGGTTTGACAGGACTGCATCAAAACTTTTTAGAAAAGAAAAACTTTGATTCCATATCCGGCAACGCTTTGCATAGCATGAACCAGAACTTTTTGTCGAAAAGAACGCTTGATTCTATCGCAGGTGGTCGTTTTCATGGAATGGGTCAGAACTTTTTATATAAGAGACCTCTTGATTCTATTTCTTCAGGAGGCTTCCACGGCATAGGACAAAATTTTCTTTCCAAAAAGTCCCTAGATTCTATTGCAAGTGGAGGTCGTTTTAACGGCATGAATCAAAATTTTCTCTCTAAAAAGTCCTTAGATTCTATAGCTAGTGGAGGTCGTTTCAATGGAATGAATCAAAATTGGCTCTCCAAAAAGTCCTTGGATTCTATTGCTAATGGGGGTCGTTTCAACGGAATGAATCAAAATTTTCTCTCCAAAAAGTCCTTGGATTCTATTGCTGGTGGGGGTGGTTTCAACGGAATGAATCAAAACTTTCTCTCCAAAAAGTCCTTGGATTCTATTGCTGGTGGGGGTGGTTTCAACGGAATGAATCAAAATTTTCTCTCCAAAAAGTCCTTGGATTCTATTGCTGGTGGGGGTGGTTTCAACGGAATGAATCAAAATTTTCTCTCCAAAAAGTCCTTGGATTCTATTGCTGGTGGGGGTGGTTTCAACGGAATGAATCAAAATTTTCTCTCCAAAAAGTCCTTGGATTCTATTGCTGGTGGGGGTGGTTTCAACGGAATGAATCAAAATTTTCTCTCTAAAAAGTCCTTAGATTCTATTGCTAGTGGAGGTGGTTTCAACGGAATGAATCAAAATTTTATCTCCAAAAGATCGTTAGATTCTATAGCTGCTGGCGGTTTCAATGGAATGAATCAAAACTTCTTGTCAAAAAAATCATTGGACTCCATATCAGGAAGCCGTTTTCATGGAATGAATCAAAACCATTTGTCCAAAAGACCGCTGGATTCCATATCTGGTAGCAAATTTCACGGAATGAATCAAAACTATTTGTCAAAACGACCGCTGGATTCCATATCTAGCGGGTTCAACGGAATGAGACAGAACTTCTTATCAAAGAAAAGCTTTGACTCTATTTCCGGCAGCGGGCTGCACGGGATGGGCCAGAACTTTCTCGACGGGAAGAGAACATTTGACTCAATCGGAGGGGGTGACTTACAAGGAATGGGCCAAAATTTTCTGACATCAAAAAGAGGTTTTGACCCAATTTCAACAGGCTCTCTGCACGGAATGCGTCAAAACTTTTTCGGACACAAAAGAAGTTTTGACTCAATAAGCAGAAATCGGTTAGGAAATTTACGTCAAAATTTTTTGAGTAAACGAGCAGACGAGAGCGCGGATGAGTGGAGTGTTAATAACGCTTCACCCGAGAAAAGATTCGATTCGATCAGCACTAGCGCTCTCAATGGCATGGGCCAAAATTTCTTCGACAAAAAGTACTTTGACAATTTTCCAGAAGGTGCTGTATCGAAGAGGTTCGACCCCATTTCTTCATCGGGGACCTTAAGCGGATTACAACAGAATTTCCTTAAGAAAAAAGACTCTGACTCCAGGTCGGCGGGCGGGATGGGAGGAGTCCGCCTGAGTTTTCCACGACAGACAGGAAGTGTGGACGGCATGACGTCATCTAAACGCCAGTTTGACTCCATCTCTGGGGGCAGCGGCATCGGCGGTCTGGGTCAGAACTTCCTGAACAAGCGACAGTTTGATTCGATAAACGAGGGGGATATAGGCGGGATGGAGCAAAACTTTCTCAGTGGGAAACGATTCGATACCATTTCCAGTGGTAAAATGGCAGGATTCAATCAGAATTTTCTTGGCAAGCGACAGTTTGATTCCATTTCTACTGGGGAGATGAGCGGGATGGACCAAAACTTTCTGGGAAAACGCGGCTTCGATTCCATCAACAGCGACTCTCGCATTTCCGGAATGGGGCAAAAGTATTTGGTTCGTCGTAGCTCCAGCCTCGAACCTCTACCCTCAGCAGAAGTGAGCGAGCAGCCCCATGACGTCTACAAACGCAGCCCAGAGGATGTGACGTCTCTGGAAGCCAGTCACGACTCGGCTGTTGTCACCGGCGATACTTCAGAACCGATCGGACCTGAGCATCGTTTTATAAAACGCAGCTTCGATTCTATTTCCAGATTTTCAGGAGGTATGGCGGGCATGAGTCAGAACTATCTGTCTCGCAGAGCGTCTAACACTCGTGCTCTGGACTCGAACTCCCAACCGTCGTCGTCATCAGCAAGCTACACTAGCCGTGGCACTAACGACGTGACTTCACTCGCCGGAGTAGACAACGATCACGAACTCTGGCGCATCCTGGACAAGAAAAACTTGGACTCAATCTCCAGATTGGGCGCTATTTCCGGCTTTCATCAGAACTTCTTAGGCTTGCCGTCTGCCAAACGCGCGGGCCAGGGCGCGCGAGACTCCAGCCAACATCACCCCGCCACCGATCCTCTCTTCAATCGATGGGATTACCAAAGATCGGGGTCCGCAGATTTCTCAGAGATTAAAACCGAACCAAGCCGACCAGTCAGTTCTGACATAACTGACGATTCTGTCAACCTAAGGGAAGAGGAAATGGACTCACCGTTGTCTAACGGCGCCAAAACAGCCACGGTCGTCAACAGTGATGACGTCAGCAACGAAGAAAAGGGAGGAGATTCGAGTGTGGACAAAAATAGACCTGCGGGTTTCTCCGTTAACATTGAGGACAAGAACACATTAGACAAAAGTCAACAAGAACGGTAGCTAAGAAAGACTTTTATTTTACTTTGATTTTTCGTAATATCTATAAGATCAGAAGCTACCGCCAGGGAGGGAGATGAAAGGGGTTGGGGGTGCCGTTTGGAATGGGGGTGGGGGTGAAAGTTGTGCAGGAGATGACACATTTTAGGTGAAAAGATTGGGAGGAAGGGGGGGGGGGGTAATGACACGTTTATGTGGTGACAGAATGAGTGAATGAAAGGTGACGTTTCTTCGGTGACAAGACTGGATGGAAAAGGTGTTTTTTGTTTTGCTTTGTTCGGGAGGAGGGGAGAGTGATGGTGACATGTATAAGTAACAAGACAGAGAAAAAAAGGTGGGGGAGGTGAGTGATACATTTTAAGTGACAAAATCGTAGGAAGGGTGAATGTTTTGTCCCAAGGTTTCTTGAACTTTGTTGTTGTTTTTTCTCGGGGTTGGGCATATTTTAGATGACAAGAATGAGGGAAGGGGAGAGGGAGAGGGAGAGGAAAGGAGAGAGGGAAGGTGATTAACTTTATGTGGCACGATTTGGTAGGGGGGGGGTACGGAACGGAACAATCACATTTTACATCACCAGGTTGAGGGAAGCTGAAGGTGGTATGTTTTAGGTGACAAGATTGGAGAAAAGGTGACATGTTATACATGTAGATGAAAAGATCTATACTGGGAAGAGGTGATACATGTTTAAGGTGACTTGACTCCTATAAGGTGACAAACTGTGGGTAACAAGAAAGAGGGAAAGGGTGACACGATTTAGGTGACGCAAATCGAATTTAGGCTTTTCTGAAGTACCGATTTTCTCCCTGCTTTTTCGTCTCTTGGTTTGGTGTTCAAAATATGTTATCAGCCAAATTTGTTTTGTTTTTGCTCCAGCGTTCTTTTTTCAGCCTAAAACCAAGTTCCCTGACGTCGTTGTTATAAAAATAGGTCCTTGGCAACTGGACAGAAAGAAGAGTAGGTTTATTTTGTACTATTATTGACATCCGTTTACTTTGAAGATAGGATACTTCAATGTGTGCAACGATTTTTACGTGGTTCTATCTTCTCTTGTCTGTAAATTGTTTCGGCCGACAGAAACGCTTGATAGCTAACTAAGGTTATTTCTGTAGGCAAAATGATTCTGTTTAGACTCTACTGTTTATTACTCTACTCAAGGCGCATAGGAAAAACACAAACCGTGACGCAATCAGATTCTGTGGATGTAAAGATCGTCTACACAAACTTTTCCTACAACAGCGCTTCTGGTCAAAGATGGCCTCCCTGTTTTCTCAATTATTTGGGTTGTGTTTGTTTTTTGCAGACATCTCGACGGTGAAACTACAATAACTGTTAGTCTGAAAAAGTCCCTTTCTGTTTTTGTCGATTATTGACTTTCAAGAATGTGATATTGTGAACGATCTCATCGGTGATTGTCAGTTTGGTGGTACTTCTACAGCATACTATTACGTCACAAGAGGGTATTGAACCTATCGGACGGGGGTATCGAACCTCTGTCTAATGGCGGTATCGAACTTCTGGTGGGGGAACTGAACCTCTGACTAGTAGGGGTATCGAACCCCTGTTGGATAGGGGTATCGCCGCTGAGTGAATACCATGGCTGTGACCTACTTCTACTATTACATAAACCACTATTTACTTCCTTTGTTACACAGCTGACTGAAAGTGCTCTCATTTGTCTTTTACTCGTGTGTCTGTGCGGCTTTCTGTGTGTTCTCCGTGTGTGTATGAGTGTTTGTGTATTAATTTTGCGTGTGTATTGTTATCTGTCTGTCTGGTATCTCTCTCTCTCTTTCTCTCTCTCTCTGTCTCTCTATCTCTCTCTCTCTCTCTCTCTCTCTCTCTATCTCTCTCTCTCTCTCTCTCTCTCTCTCTCTCTCTCTCTCTCTCTATCTATCTATCTCTCTCGCTCTCTCTCTCTCTCTCTCTCTCTCTCTCTCTCGCTTCCCCTTCCCCACTTTGCGTTCTATAGCATAGCCTAGTAGCCATTTTTTCCTGAATATCCACTGGATAGACAACTCTCTGACTTATGTCAATTTCTTTTTGTTTATTGTTGCTCTTTCAAAAAATGTTGTTGGGGGAGATGTGTCAGGGAAAGTTTGTTTTTTGTTTTAGTAAGTGTTTTACGGCACTTGCAACACAATAAGGTCATATAAATACCGAAGATTAGAGGTGATACAAGAGAGTAACAAACAAAAAAAAAGAAGGAGTAGAGATAAGGACAACAGATATTTGATAGGAATTAAAGAAGAAGCAAACCACACCAGAGCAGCTGCCAGCCACCTGTGTGTCTGAGAAAGGAGAATGGATCAGCTGATCAGACACAACGATAAGACAAACACGGTACTGCAAAAGTAAATTTGGGACCTCCCCCCCCCCCCCCAACCAACCCCGAGCTTCCTTTCGCAGAGCTGACTTGGTCCAGAACGCAGATCCAGGGTCACCGCTGGGGGTCAGAGAGGGGTCAGTGCTGAGTCTTACAGTAAGTTACAGGAACACCACACAGCGGTCTGTCACCGTAGATGTGCGCATGGACTCATGAACATAATTTTGCGAGGCGGCGTGGTGGAATCAGGCTCTCGTCAGTTTTTGGGCATGTGGAGGTATTGGTATCATCTGAAAGCTTGTTCACTTGTCTTTATTTGGTTGAAAAAATATCCATTTATCTTGAATAAAAGCCGAGATATTTGTGAATGAATGAGGTGGGGGTCGCCTGTTTTCAGAGGTAAAATTAGTGAGAAAATGGCCGCAAAAGATTAGTTATTTCCTTAGCTTAAGAGTCCGTGGTAACTAAAAATCTACATTGTTGTGCCTTTAACCAACGTTTTTCAGAAAAACCCACACAGAAATTAGTTCTTTAATGGGCACGAAAGGTGTAGAGCCAAAAAACTAAAATTAAATGAAAATCCACAAACACGCAGAAAAATGCAAGTTTCTTCACTTTGATTATTTTGACGAGAGCCTGATTCCACCACGCTGCCTCACAATGAACATGGTGGAGGGGTTATACTTTACTTTACGCCCAACAAAACCTGAGACGTGACTGTCCACAGACTACACAACATTCTCCCAACACCGGCTTTCTTTAAAATGCAGGTGTTTTGACGCCCAAATCAACACAATTCAGATCATTTACGAAGCAGGCTTCGACCCTGCTTACCAGAACATCAACCCAGGATGAAAGAGTTCCAGAAAAAAGACCAAGATGCTCGATAAAAATTCATATGAAAATTGAACTCCGGTCTCCTGCATGCAGCAGCAAAGCACCTCACACCACACCACAGACACAGGCACACTGGCACCTAGAGGCGGGCAAAATCCGATAATCTATCCGGGTAACTGGATAATTATTAATGAGACATTGTCCGAATTCAGACTCCCTTTCCTGACCCATTTGTCGAAGTGGTCCTAACCCATTTGTCGAAGCGGTTCATAATATCGTATTATTTTCCGAAGAAGTTCACTAACATTATTCGGATTTGCTGAAGCGACTCATTGCCGACCTCTACAGGCACCTTGATCAGCTTCTGTCATGGACAGCAGATTTAGTCTACCGAGCCAAGGCAGAGCGACGTATCTGCACTTTTTATGATTTTGAGTTACGTCGCGCTGCCATTGGAAATGTGGGCATGGCCCTTCAGTTACGTCTGTTTGCCATAGTGAAATCTCCTATTTGTACTGCAGATACGTCTTCCTGCCTTTGACACGAGATGCAGAATGGGTGTAGGCGCCCATTTAAACGAAGATGCAAAATTAATAATTTTTACAGATACGTCGGTCTGCTTTGGCACGGCAGTTATAAGTATCATATCGTATTACAGCGTAGATGGTCTTAGTTCAAATTCGCAACAAGTTTTTACTTAAAACTTGAAACCTTTTGGAAGTATTCAAACCATTTGGTCAGCCCTATCAATGATAACAAGCCATGACAAAGCCAAGAGAGAAGTTCGCAAACTGAGTATACTCACTCAAGGAAATAATGCTTTTTAATTCTCAAAATGCGCCAAACTCCTCTCTGCCAGAATTGGTATTACTGGCCAGTGCAGAAAAAGAAATATTCTCCTCTACAGATACTACAGATACATTGTTTAGCATCAGATGTTGACGAACAAACTCAATATATATCATTATCGGAAATGGGCATTACATTTAGTTTAGAGATCTACGTCTCTTAAAAAACCCGACTGGTTACAGAGAACAACATAAAAACCAAACTAAAGTCACTGTAGTCGATCCGACAAGAGACAGAACATAAGGACAGTTTCAAACGGAAAGAAATGAAAGCAAATTCATAAAATATGGCTCTCTACTCAGTTGGCTCCGCCCTGTCTGTTACGGGTTTTAATTGTTAATTTTAGTAAAGTTTTACTGCGCTCGCAACTGCATAAGGTCATATGAGTGCCAAGGGGTGGATGTCAACAAAGAAGTTCAAACAGGGAATCAGGTTTACTCTGCTCACCTCTCTAGCCTAAACAGCACAAAGTCTGCTTCGACTAGCAAAGCAACCCGGAAATAGCAGTTCACAAGAGAGTGACAAACATATAAAAGGAAGTAGGGGGAAAATGATGATAGTAAGGTTAAGGAAAGAAAAAGCAGCAGTTCCCCCATATTGTTCCAGCACAGTATGAGCATGACATTGATAAATCAGCCCATTTACAATTCTACTGTGAATAAGAATATGTATTCCCCCCCTTTGGGAATGGCCTAAAGACAACTTCAGTCAGTAGCACTGCATGGTGGGGGGTGGTTTTAGTTTTAGTATGAGTTTTACTACAACACAAAAAAGAAAGATGGGGGACAAGGACAACAGATGTTTAACAGGAAAGAAGGAGCAAGACACACCAGAGCACCAGCCAACCACCCACCGGCTATGGGTCTTGGAATCGTTGATGAGAACTCTAGCTTAAACATACATGATACAATGTATACTCAAACCTGCTCCAAAGGCCACTTGTCCAAGACAATCACCTGTAAAAATGACAACTTCCCACGTTCCCCCTTGTATTTTTTTCAATATTAATCTAAAATGACATTCAAGTGAGTTAAAGATGTCCACCTCTCAAAGATAGCCACTTTCTCCTTGACAATGGGTGGCCATCTTAGACTACTTGGACTGTATAAAATATATACAAATTAAGAAAGAAGAAAACAAAAACTGATTTGACATGGAAAGACTCAAAAAGATCAAACAAACAAACATGATTACAATTACAACAATTTTACTTTATTACCAAATCTCGTACACTCCCACTGACAGCATCAACATTTACAGTCTTTTCAACACTTTTCTGGCTGCTTCCCGATACAATGTCACCACTACCACTATCACCACAACCACCTACAGCACCTCCAGCTCCCAGTTGACCACTGTCCACTCCTTGCCTGTCCTCATCAGCAGACGTGAGAACCGAGGCAGATGGCTTGACCAGCCTGTCGGACCGACGCAGTTCACAGGCCTCCTTGTAGGGTGGGTTGATCGGGGACTGTGTGGGCGAGTGGTACGTGTAGCTCTCCCCCTCGCCCAGCTGAAACAGGAAGTTGTGTCGGGTCGTTTAAAAAACGAGAAGCACATCATTGACATAATAATGGCGGTCATTCGTTTGAGTAAAGAGAAGCACATCATTGACACAATAATGGTGGTCATTCGTTTGAGTAAAGAGAAGCACATCATTGACACAATAATGGCGGTCATTCGTTTGAGTAAAGAGAAGCACATCATTGACACAATAACGGCGGTCATTCGTTTGAGTAAAGAGAAGCACATCATTGACACAATAATGGCGGTCATTCGTTTGAGTAAAGAGAAGCACATTATTGACACAATAATGGCGGTCATTCGTTTGAGTAAAGAGAAGCACATCATTGACACAATAATGATCATTTATTTGTTACCCATAAGTCACATCTCTCACCTGTAAAGTGACAAAAAGTCAGAACTCTCATATGTGACGGTAATAGATAAGTCACATATGTCACCTGTGTCTCTCACCTGTAAGGTGAATAAGTCGTATTTCTCTCGCCTGTAAGGTGACAATAAGTCACGTCTCTCTCACCTGTAAGGTGACAATAAGTCACGTCTCTCTCACCTGTAAGGTGACAATAAGTCATGTTTCTCTCACCTGTAAGGTGACAATAAGTCATGTCTATGTCACCGTATAAGGTGACAAAAAAGTCACATCTCTCTCACCTGTAAGATGACATGAAGTAATGTCTCTCTTTCACCTGTAACATGACAATAAGTCATACCTCTCACCTGTAAGGTGACAATAAGTCGTATCTCTCACCTGTAAAGGATAAGTCATATCCGAGTCAAACCCACTCAAGTCTCCACAGGCCAGGAATGGGACAATCACACGGTTAGGACCTTCCAGATTGTTGAAATCCAAATCTGACAAAATTGAAATAAAAATCAGAAATATATTTACAAACAAAAAACAAAACAAAACAAAACTCCCCATTTATTGATCCCCATGTGGAGATTTGGTGTACAATGGAAAACACATAATTCGTTTGCTCTGTTTGTTGGAGTAAAGAGAATCACACCGACACAATAACTGTCATTTAGTGCTGGGGAAAAGAAAGAACAGATTTTTTTTAAAAAGAAAAGAAGTGACACCTACCAGTGGCTTCCTCCAAACACCCGCTAAGCTGGCTTAAGGACACACACACTACTGAACCCACAAAGAAGAACACAGAACACATCATAGCCACTACTACAATACTTTAAGTTTGAAACATCAATCAACCTTATTTTAAAAATCCTAGAAATATGAGATACGGCCTTCTGCAAAGAGTATTTTGTTCAGTTCAAGGCATGTCATGTGAAGTGAATGTTTAATTGCGTCCTTCGCTTATGAAGATGACCATGACTTCACAAATTGGTCTGTTGAAGGTGACTATGGGTCCGGAGACGGCTGATTAGGTCTATCCAGGCTCGGAAGGTTCGCCCACAATGTGGGCACGGGTAGTCTGCTGTTGGACTTGTGGTGGAAGCAGGTCTTGACTTGTGCACATTGCGTTTTTTTTGGCTTCAGCGGTGCGCTTGGCCTCTGCTGCTTTAGCTCCCTTCGTAAGACTGCAGCGCCAAGCGGGATGATCCAGGGACAGCGTTTCTCACCAGTCGTTCAGGATTCCAAGTTCCTTTAGTGAGACTTTGAGGCAGTCCTTAAAACGTTTTTTTCTGCCCTCCAACTGAGTGCTTGCCATGAAGCGGCTCTCCATACATCAACTGTTTGGGCAACCGGCTGTTCGCCATTTTGATCACGTGGCCAGCCCATCTGGCTCGCGTTTTGTGGAGGATGGTGTAGATCCTGGCGGCTCCGGCTTGCTCTAAAACAACAGTGACTGGGGCTTTGTCCTTCCATCAGATGCGGAGGATTTTACGGAGACAGCTCAGGCGGAATCGATTGAGTTGCTTGGCGTGTCTGCTGTAGACAATCCAGGTCTCGCTGGCGTAGATAAGGATGATAAGAACAACTGCCCGGTAGACCTTCAGCTTTGTGGAGCGGCTGAGTCCTCTGTGCTCCAAGACATTCTTGCGAAGCCTCCAAAAGGCGCTGGCCTTGGCAATTCTATTGTTAATTTCAGAATCTATATGTACATGAAAGCGTGCTGCCTAGGTAGGTAAAGTGGTCAGCTGCTTGGAGTTTCTGTCCCTTCACCATGATTTATGGCACTGTGTATGGTTTGTCCGGGGGCTGTTTGGTACATGACTTCGGTTCTCTTGGTACTGATGGTGAGGCCGAGTTGTCACAGGTTAAGGCGAAACAGTTAATTTCATTTTGCATACACTCTTCTGTGTTAGCGTTGAGTGGATTGTTTCTTTCACCCTGGTAACGGCCTGGAAGAGCTTGAAGTTGAACGGCCTGCCGTCGGTTCTGTACCTGATACAGACGCCATCTTCACTGTTGAGGAAGGCATCTGTTAGCATGGCAGAGAATACCATGCTGAAAAGAGTTAGGGCAAGGACGCATCCTTGTTTAACGCCATTGGTCACACATGTCTGACTCATCTCCATTCCCTAGCACTTTTTCCATCATACGATCGTGAAAGTCTAGTAAACATACACACACATACAGACACACATGCATGCACCCAAGCACACGTTAACACCTACATCCCTCACAAACGAACACACTCACACAAGCAGGCATGCACAAACACATACACACACAGATCGTGATATCATTTCTTCAGTAAGCAACACAGTATTTTCAAATCCTAGTTTTAAAAACTTTTGAATCAAAGTCAAGAAAAAGAAAGACGACAAAAATCACGAGTAAGACAGACGCTCACCGTATTGCTGATCTAGCAGAGGGTTGGACATGTTGGGGATATAGCCCTCTGGTGGGGAGTAACCCTGGCATACGACAAACGCCTCTGTGGAAGGGAAGTAACCCAGTAAAACAACAATGTACTCAGGGTGAACTGGTAAATGTTTGCTTGTTTGTTTGACTGTTTCTTTGTTTGTTTGTTTGTTTGTTTGTTTGTTCGAGTAAAAATGTGCACACCGACACAATAATGATTGTGTAGTGCAAAGATAAAAAATAAAACAAACAAACAATAATGAAAAAAATGAAGAACCTACCAGCAACGCTCTCCAACCATCAATTCACAGAAACTTACACTCCTGATCATGTGTACACCTTTATAATAGAATGGGGGAAAATATTAATATTGGGAGTTTCAAGAAAGAGAGAGACAGAGACAGAGAGAGAGAGAAAGAGGGGTGGGGAAGGAGATTGAGAGAGAGAGCAAGAGAGAGAGAGACAGACAGACAGACAGAGAGAAGTGAAACGAGGGGCAGGGAGGGAAATTGAGAGAGAAAGAGCGAGATAGAGAGAGAAAGAGAGAGAGCGATGTAACAAAGGTATAGGTAGACAGAGAGAGAGACAGATGTAATGAAGGTGGGGAAAGATAGAGAGAGAAAGAAAAAGAACAAGTCACCTATACTGGAGTTGCGACTGCTCCGAGGCTTGAACACTGTGACCTCCGGGAAGAAAATCTTGAGTTGTGCGTACAGTAGCGTGACATCCTTGCCCCGGAAAATCTGAAACAAAATACCCACCGCTACGTCAAATGTGCTGTTACTTACACCCCCCCCCCTCCCTCCAAAAGAGCAACAAATTACACAAATTAGCCATTTTTTCTTGGCCTTGGGCATCACTCTAGAATCCCCCTTGAGCATAATGCTCGGTCCCGTTTCAGTCCCTACATTTTCTTTGTATTGACTTCACGGAGTTCCCGAACACTTGGAACACGCAATACTCGAATCTCGAACAAGTCCACTTCGCATTCTCAACTAAAGACCCGGCTTTACAGTGTTTCCTTTCTATTGTTACAGCCAAAACGTGGTCCTTGTCTCACCATGAAAGGCTGGAGGAGGGGGGGCGGAGAAGAGGGATTGAGGAGTGATGCTGACCGCACGGCATGACTGGGTCGCCACGTGTGCAATCTTGCTGTGGGACGCGTGCGGTGCAGATGGTAAGAGGTGTAACTTTCAGTTAGTCAATGCAACAAGAGGAAAGGAATGACATTGGAGTCGGTGGTGTACACGTTAGATTTTCTGCTTTCCACTTTCATTCATCTTCTTGCATTCACACCATCAGCACATTCGTCAAGGGAGCTAACCATGTTAATTGTTTTACTGTTCTCTTTTATCTCCCTTGATTTTCTCTCTTTTTATTATCTTACTATTTGGGACTTTCATGGACATGACGAATTACGGAAATCTCGAGCACTATTTCCAATCCCCGACGGATACAAATTACGCGTGTTTGACTGTATGTTTGTTTGAGCAAAGAGAAGCATGACAAAAAGAATAGCTGTCAATTCATCATCATCATCATTGAGAGTCTTGTCTGGAGCAGACATTGGCAGTTAAGGTTCTCCACTCCTTCCTTTCAGTCAAGGGCTGTCATTTAGCTGTAAAAAAGCAGAAAAGACAGGCAGAAACAACAAAGGGAAAGAAAGCAAGTAGGACATACCAGTGGCACTCTCCAACCAGCTGCAAAAATGGTTTGTTCCTTGAAGAAAGAATGATAGAGTGAAGATGCCGTCCCAAGAATTATGCTTTTTTTTTAAAAATAAAAAAGTACGCTAAATAACTGACTGGGCAACATGTACCGTATACAGTCCGTGCCGGCTTTAAGCATGCCGGCCTTAAGCACGTTTCGGACTCAAGCACGATAAACGGCTCTTACCGAATTTTTGCTATATAAATTACACGCCTTTAAGCACAGTAACTTCGGCTTCAAGCACGCTTCATTTACAAGACAGTCAATATTTTCATGATGACCCATCAAAGTTCGAACACAGTTTACACCACAGCAGTGGAGTGTGTCAAGAGAAACACAAAGAACGCAAGTGATGGACACACACACTCACACGGGCGGAGAGGAAGGCAGAGAGATGCACACAGCCGTGCGCGCGGACATAGGTTCTAGCCTAGGCCTAGGGCAAAGCTACCCACGACCAAAAAAAAATACAAAGAGAGTTGGGGAGACGAGAAAGGGAGGTTGGCAGCGATTTCACCTTTGACCCTCGCTATCCATTAATCCTGATTGTGTATCACGCGCGAGGTGGGAATGAAGGCGGTGGTATGAGTGGCACAGCGGGCAGTGGTACGCACAGGCAGTGTGTTACAGTAGGCCTAGTGTGCTGTATCGTGACTGGCCGTCTGAATTAAGTTTTCATTTCCCATTTGACCTCAAAACAAAAACAAACAAGAGAACAAAAAATACCAAGGCGGGTGTCTAAATGACAGTGCATACTTTTGCGGGACCGCTATAGGCCTGCTTGCAAACAAAGGGAAATAGCACGGGAAATTTTCAACATGAAAATCTCTGGATTATGTCTACTTTGCACTTAAGCACGCTTCGGCTTTAAGCACGCTTAAGCTTTCTCCCGATGACCGTGCTTGAAGCCGGCATGGACTGTATTCAACACTTAACCTGCTAAAGCATATCTCCACATAACTACACTGACACCCTTACATCAAATGACATTCAACCAATGCTGCTAAAGAATTCATCCCACCACTTATTTTTGCTCAATTCACACCGTCCTTTACTTTTGCTCATACTTTTCTATTCATATCATCAGTGCTACAACAGTCCTGAGGAAATAGCTCACCCACATCCCCACTCATATAAATTAACACGCCCACATGAACTGACCTTTAACATGCGCAAGGCCAAAGTGTTTACCCCTCGACTTATTTTTGTAAATATATTTTCCTACTCTGCTGTCACCTAATACTGGAGACTGGGGTGTAACAGTTAGGCTCTCTGCCGCTGCACACAAAAGATTTGACTGTGATTTTGTCTTACACTAAGGAAGTATTACATTGAGTATCTCTGTTAATGTCTCCCACCATCCCACCAAGCCCAAGGCGGTTTGGACAGGCCGGGTCAGAGCAGCCCATCTCTCAGCCGATCTAAACCATGTAGAAAGGGGCTAAAAACATCTACAATCATTACAATCAATCACAAGCCATGAGGAATGAGAATTCGAACCAACCTTGGCAACAAAAGTCCCGCCTGACTTGAGGACATGAGTGGTGATGTTCAGAGCCTGGGAAAATAATAATGCACCAGTTGTAAAGATCAGAGAACACACAAGACAGGCATGGGCAAACTGTATCTTTGGTGCAGAAGTATCTAAAAAAAAAATTGTGGGCTGACATTTTCGTCTTCTTTCATCATTCAAATCAGTGAGTTAGAGGGGGTTTTTTTGCAAGAAAAGCTTTCAAAAGCATAGCATTATCAATATGTGAGGCATTGTGGTGAAATCAGGCGCTCATCAAAATAATGAAATCAGAGAAATCTGCATTTTTTGGCCAGTTTGGATATTTTTAACGAATTTTTGTTTTTTGGCTCAACACCTTGTACGCCCATTTAAAAACACTTTTATGTTTGGATTTTATGGAAAAACATTGATTAACTCATTCGCTACGCCGAGCTGTGGGCAGCGGCGCGGCGAAAGTGACTTCCTTATGGCAAGCCGCCCCTAGCGGCTCGAGAACTGATCTATAATTCTACCTTATGTTTTATTCCAATCCACATATCGATGTTAAAATAAAGGTTATAATATAACGCAAATCGGAAGTTTTGATTCAGTTTTGAAACACAATTTTGAAGTTTATGCGACTTTGTTTTATCGCGAGGCCCAAATTATAGCCCAGACACCAGTCTTAGTACTTTTACACAACAAAATGTATAATTTTTTTGCTTACTAAAGAAATGTAGGACTCTTCTTTAGAACATTTACACTATATTTGTGAAATGGACTAAAATTGCGAAAGCTTTGTTATTGAGAAATCAATATTTTTCAGTGTAAGATCTACATTTAGATCTAAATTGTCAAAATATTTTTTATCCCCAAAATCATTACTTTTGTGAGAAATTACAAAAGAAGTACGATCCAGAAATGTGTAGGTTTATTCCAAATCCAATTCTGAATAATTCCATATAAGATACGTGTGTATTTTTTCAGTATATCTTGTCCTTTTTTCAAGATTATAAATTATTTTTTACAATATTGGATGTTATGATCCAAATGTACAAATTGTGTGGAAAGTAAGGTAAATAACTGCAAATTTTTCAATATTTTCCAGTTCTATATTCATTTATGGTTATTTTGGTGCATTATTTGACTAGGGGCAAAAATATTTTGTTTAGTTTCACCAAAGGTGTTCAATTTTTTAATTTTCAAATTTCATCCACATCCAATCAAAATTGTGTTGCATAATCGTCTCTTACAGGAACCAAAGTTGAAAATTACACAAATAAACATTACAGTTGTATTTTGCTAATCATACTGAAAATTTCGGTGTATAATATCGTCGTCCATCTCACAAAAGGGCGTAAGAGCATTTTTGGCATTTTTCAGGAGAGCGTTTTAAAGTTTTGGACACTTTTTAAGTTCTTGCTGTGGCGTAACCGTTTGCTTTTTCGTTTACATTTTGGGCAAGATATTAGTACAACCACCGATTTATCATTCCCTATAACAGTTATAGATATTGCGTCATCATTTTTAAAGAAATGGTCTAAAATAGCTGATACGCCTGTTTGTGAGAACATAATTATGTCCGTAAAGACACAAGATTGACAATACGCCACATCGTTTGGTAAAAGAATATAAGAGAAAATGGATTTTTTTTCTTGATTATTGAACAGGTTTATCAACTCAATATGCCAAATTGATCAATTTTGGGGAGTGAAAAACGACAAGAAAAAGAAAATGAAACAGATTTGGGGTCTCCACGATATGAAATGTAAATAACTTAAAGAGTCAAGCTTTCTTACTTGTCTTCAAGGTATTATAAGAATTTGCACAATACAATGAGAATAAAATTACTAGTACTGCACAGATCCTTTCATTCAGGACTGAGCACCATCCTTAGACAACAACAATATTAGTAGAAAGATAAATTCTGAGCATGTGTAATGAATTTGTGTAATACCTTATAAATGTTTTAGCCCATAATACTTTGTTTATCAATGAAATATTGTGCAAGTGTTTGTTTAGAAGAAAGATAAATGTGGCAGATTTAGAAGAACATTGTGTGTTCCTCCAGTCTGATGAAAAGGTGTACTTGGCTATTGGGAGTTTTTTAGGCTGTTCAATGGAATGTCTTTGACTTGATTTTTCTGGGGCTTAAAGATCACTGTTTGGTACTGTGGGTTTGTAGGAAATAAATAGTTATTGAATAGTCTCTGTTGAGCCTGTTCCATAATATCACTTCAGTTTATGATTATATTGCAGCTGGAAGCATCTTCTTTGAGTTTTCTCACTTTGGCTTTTCCGTGGATGCGATTGTTCAGCCTTTGTTTTGTCTCCTCTTCAGTTCAGGTTTGAGAGCTAGTCCTTTTAACTGGAAACTGACCTACAGCAGTGATGTGAGTCAACAGCGGGGAAGCTCACAATATGAGCATTAATAAGGGTGGGAAGTTTTTCATCTCTTTCTTTGACAGTTGCTGGGTATCATCATCCTCTTTATTTTACTTCAATAGTTTCAGCTGATATTGTCTTACAGATGGCGGAATTCCATCGACAGTCAAGTAATATGTATTGGTCTTCTGTCCGTGAGAACAGCTCGTCCCTTTCATAGATTCAGAGCAGACAGTGTCACCAACGACAAACTCACGTTATAGATAATGGTCTTCAAGTCTGTAATATTGCTGGAACATTTCCTCGTGTGTTTCATTCGCAATAGTGTGACAGCTTCGACCATATTTCTTATAGCTTTCAAATTCATACCTGTCTCAAATCCTGTGCGCGCCAAAATGTGTTGCCGTTATAGGGCTAAGGAACTCATCTCCAAAATGTCCTTTGTGATTAGCTTCTTTATACTTATTGGACTGTGGACCTTTCTGAGCAGTCACTTCTTTGACAGCACCTTTTGTCATGAAATTTTCAGGTTGAGTACAATATCCAACAACGACCGAGTTATTCTCTCTGGCTTTATCCGTTTTCTACTCATGATGCTACGTGGCTTTTTTTAAAGACTACCACGAGCCTGTTTCTTCCACAAAGTGACAGTATGTATAGCACAGGAGCAATACACACCTTCACAGCTACAAATATGTCCTTCTTGCATGACACAGAAACCAGGTTGGAAAGACGGGTCAGCATCTAAATCGTCAATATAATCAGAACTTTCTGCAATACTACATCTTTGGGGACTCATGGACCAAATTGAAACTTTTACTTGTAGAAAATATTTTTAAAAGTTGATGTTTATAAGCTTACAAATGAGCTAAGATACTATCACTTTATGGGTGCATGAACATCAAACGCTGAAAGCAAGGATGGAATTTAAAGCACAGGTACCAAAAACAACACTGTCAACTTAAACTAATGGTAAGGAAGCGTATAAAAGTCCCTCAATGATGCAGCGAGAAAGAATCGCAAGACTACTAAACATGAAATGAGATGCATCCCCCTCATTTACAAGCGAGAAAACAAAAGGAAACATCTCATACCATGGCGTATGCGGTCACATGCCTCCGTATATATTCTCACAAAGGGGCGTAAGAAGGCATACGCCTCTATGTGAGATGCAGTTTCCTGCCCGAGAGCTATAGGGCTAAATGTTTTTTGCTCATAACTCCGCCATTTTTAAAGCTATCGATATGCCGTTTTGAGAGAAGATAGATCTCACTACCGGACATACCATGGTGGTGTTAACTCAAAACCGGTAATTTTGACGATACGCCCTTTTGTGAGATGGGTGACGATATGTTGATATTAATATATACAATTTTTTCAATTGGGGCCCCAAAGACCTTTGAACTGCTCACTAGTCATCATCTCATTTCGACTTCCCGAAAAAAAATTCGTCCACAAGCCAAAAATAATGAGTAGCGAATGAATTAAATGCACAAAAAAATGTAAATTTGCAGTTTCCAATGACTCTTAAGCTATGGAAATCACGAAACTTTTCTCAATAATTTTACCTCTGAAACAACGCGACCCCCACTTCCTTCAATCGCAAATGTCTCGACTTCAAATAAAGGTAAAAGGATATTTTTTCATCGAAGGCAAGGCAAATAAATAGCCTTTAAGATGATACCAACAACTCCATATGCCCAAAAATTGACGATTCTGTTCATGAAGAATCTTTGCAAAATCCAGCAATGGCAAAAGCAAAATAAACTTACATCCTCATAAGTTTTCGAAATTTGTCAGATAAATTTTTAATAAACAAACTTTGATATTTCCTCAAGATGCACAAAGATGAGTCTCCATACACAAACTATTAAGACTACCCTTTCTCTTTCTCTCTCCGCGTCTCACTTTCTCTGTCTGTCTCTGTCTCTGTCTCTGTGTCTCCTCCCCCTCCCCCATTCCCAAATATCAGGTAAGGAGCAAACATAAAGTGCCATCTCTCCACTCAGTCCTATGCATTCTGTCAACCTCAGAAATTTTGCAGTAATCTGAATATTTCCAGATGGCCCTGGAAAGCAGACTTTTGAGGTAATAGCCCCAAACAAATAAATAAAGTCAAATACAGAGAAATCTCCTTCCATCACAAAGAACAAACCAACTTACAGCCAGCAGCAGCTGTGCTTGAATGTACTCGTCAATGTCATGAAGCCCCGTCACTGAAAGAAGCAAGGGGGAAAAAAATCAATTTTCAGAACCAACAAAACAGATTTTCACTCCTCATTTTTCTACAATTCGACATGTATCTGATGGCTTTCCTCCCTACTGGTGGCCACAGTGGCTCAGTCGTTTCACAAACACACACACATGGTGAACAGTACAAAGTCCAGATTTTCAAACTGAGGATGGGTGTCCAGTGGAGGTAGCTTTTTTTATTTTCTCTCAGTCTCAACTTTAAACCGCCAACAAACTATATAAATTGATTGAATAGCACATTTAAATGTGCCATCGAATACATTTCTTTTTATAGAAATTATTCATGGAATCAGTTTTATAAATTGAGTCTTTGAATATATCAGACAATATTTCTGGAGAAGAACAAATGCCATCCAGTGATTTTTCATTACATCGAAAAAAAACAAAGAACACGGGACTAGAGAGAATGACCTACTCATTACTGTGCAGAGGTAAAACAAAACATTTCTTTCTACATTGAAATAAAATATACACTAAAAGGGGGGGGGGGGAAAGAGATCAGAGAGACCTACAAAAGGGACTCGAACAAAACAAGCTCACCATCAGGGGCTCCGTCACACACCACCAGATCTGCCTGCTCTCCTTCAAAATGGCCGATAATGGCTTGAGCAGTTGATTTCTGTAATTCAAAACACAGAGTGGCTGAATATCTAGTCCTTGAAAAAACAAAATAACCCTCTAGCTAAATTTCTAAAACCAGCATGCTGTACAGCTGTGAAAAACCATGGTGTGTGTGTAAAATTTTGCGTATTGGTGAGGTATTTTGTACAGTAAAACCCTGATAACATGAACTTCACGGGATCAAACAATTTCTTCATATTAAACAGATTTCGTGTGTAAGGGAGGTTGCGATGCATAGAATAAAGAGAAGATTTCTCTTTAAACAAAGTCAACTGCATTGTGCTGTGTTGATGAATCACCAAAAACAGCTATTTGTCACTTGTGTACGTACATAATCCACTGTAAACCAAATTTAAGTTGGGTGGGGGGAGGGTGTCAATAAATTTTGTTGTATTTTTGTTCAGTATATTATACCTTGGTGATGTCTCCCTGTATCTGGATGACACCCGGTATAGGAGCCATAGCCTGGAGATCGACAGCCACAATTTTGGCATCAGACTCGGCTCCTGCAGCACCCCTGGAACAAGATGGAATCATCTGAATAGACTCTGGGGTATTTGCATAACAAAAAAGCCAGTGAGTCAAATAAAAAGCAGGATGTCTGCTCCCCAAGGAGGTGACATAAAAAAGCAATACCGGTTTGAATTGTTCTAAAGGAATATGAGATGATACAAACTTGACATAAGTTTGGTTTTCTTTTCCCTACTCAATAATTCATAAGTTTTGATTAATTTCTCAAGTAAAAGATAGTTGCAGAAATCCAGCATCAAATAAGCTTTCTTATGCAGATGTGCCTCTTCATACTCAAACAAACAAATCCTCTCACCTTAAGTCCTCAGTTCACGTACATCAAAACCACCTCACATCTTACTCACCTGACATCTAAATAATTTAACTCACCTCAGTTTCTTGGCCAGGACTTGGCTCCAGCTTCCTGGTGCAGCGCATAGGTCAACCACTTTTTTCACTCCTGGAGAGTCCAGATGAAAATTTACATGTGATATACAAAGAACAATTATGTTAGTAAATTAAATGTTTTATGCCTTCACTGACACAATTAAGATCATTATGGAGAAAATTAGATTTTTTACTATTAAAATGTCCACTCATATTATAATTATATCATCTAGCAACAGGTCACATACACACTGAGCCCTTAGTCTTTGAAAAGTCATATCAATATTATCTCGAACTGTACAAAAAATAAAGACACCAGTCGTGCATAAAAAGGAACAAGCTACCAACTTCAGCTTCATTACCTTATACATCACACGCCTCAAATATTTGCATAAAATTAAAGTCAAGAGCAAAGATAAACGTGCCATCTATGTGGACAAGCAAATGTAACTGTGGACTTCACAGGCTGGCTTCATAATTCAGGGGTTGGGGTTCAGGTTCTTAGCTTCTAACGGGACAAAACTCAGGAACAGCAACACGTTCCGGGAGCACAGCCACAATGAGCAAAATCAAATTTCAGTCTGCCAGAAGAACAGTGTATCCTTACCTCCAAATATGTCGAAATCATCATTGATTTGCAGTAGTTTGTAAGCACTCCGAGCTCTCCATCCCTCTTCTTTTGCTCTTCGGTAGTAAACGTCCCGTTTATCCTTTGAAGATCTGCCCATGATTCAAGAAGTCAGCAAACCCACATCTGCAGAAAGAAGGTAAAAAAATTTTAGAAAGTGTTCAGCGACCCAGGCATGATAGCTGGTAACAGGATCGAGAACTGGATTCAGGTGTCAAAGGTGGATAGAAACGAATGTGCGTGGCATCGCCATGATATCAGGCGCTTGTCAAAGTAAATAAATTAATCAGAAACCGACATTGTACTGCCTGTTTTTTAAATCAAATTTATGTTTTGGGCTCAATATCGTTTATTTCTTATTTAAAACAAACTAATCTGTGGATGTCACTGAAAAATGATAAAAAGCACAAAAAAATAAAATTCCACTTTCCAAGGACACTACAGCTTTGGAAGTCACCAAATTTTGGCAGCCATTTTTAAGCTATTTTCACATCTGACATAATGCATCCCCAGGCACCGTCAATCACAAAAATCTCTACTTCTATTCAATACAGATGGATTTTTTTTTCATAGAAAGCAGGGAAAATGAACAGGCCTTAAAATTGTGCTTTCATCCAGGATTCTTCTCTGCTCCTCGCAATCATTTCCTATTTAGTTAACAACTGCATTTGGCAGCTAACCTTCTATCTGGAAGAAATTCCCCTATCCACTATCTTGGGAAGCACTGGGTAACACACAAGTACCCATACTCATGTTTGTCTAGTACCCCTTTTATAATTGTTACTGAAAATGTTATAAATGTTCATTTTCCCTGCTTTCTATGAAAAAAAATATCCATCTGTATTGAATAGAAGTAGAGATTTTTGTGATTGACGGTGGCTGGGGATGCATTGTGTAAGACAATTCTTTCTTAACAAATTTCAAAATGTAAACTCCTGCAAGGAACTTTTTCGATTATCTGATCAATTATTGGGAAGGGAGAATTGTACACTGTTTCCACCTGGAACTGATAAAGAACTTTGTTGTAATTTTCTGCACTTTTTCAATGATAAAATTGAAAGAATAAGAACTGATTTAGACTCTGATATGTTAGATGTAAATACAAATATAGTTGTTGATGAAAATCTTGCAATTATGAACAAATCAACATTGAGTGAATTTAAAGTGGTATCAGAGAAAGATGTCATTAAGTATATCAAAGAGTCCCCCGCTAAAACATGCGACTTAGACCCAATACCCACTTCATTGTTAGTTACCTGCATCGAAGATCTCGCACCATATGTTACTCGTTTTATTAATATGTCACTCACCACTGGAATCGTACCTGATCTTTTCAAACAAGCCATTGTAAAACCTTTACTTAAAAAACAAGGTCTTGATGAAAACGACATGAGAAATTTTAGGCCAGTTTCCAATCTAAACTTTTTATCAAAAATCCTGGAGAAAATCGTTTTGTGTCAAGTTCAACAACATCTAAAGGCTAATGACATGGAAGAACCTTTTCAATCTGCTTATAAAAGGCACCACAGTACGGAAACCGCTCTTTTAAAGGTATCATCAGATGTTTTAAATGAAATCGATAATAAAAAAGTCTGTGTTTTGGTTCTGCTTGATTTGTCAGCGGCGTTCGATACCATCGACCACGAAATTTTACTAGAGAGATTGGAAAAGTCATTTTTACTATCTGGTACTGTTCTAATGTGGTTTAAATCATATCTAGACAATAGATTTATGTCAGTGAAAATTGGCAATGATGTGTCAGATAGTTTACCTCTAAAATACGTAGTTCCTCGGGGTTCGGTCCTTGGTCCTGTCATCTTTACAATGTACACGTAAAGTCTGTTATCAATAATTTCTTTATATGCCCTCAATTACCATCTTTATGCAGACGATACACAGCTGTATGGATTCACTACAACTGACAATGTACACAATCTCATAGATAGAATCGCCAGATGTATCAATGATATAAGAAAATGGATGTTCAAGAACAAATTAAAATTAAATGAGGATAAGACCGAAATATTATTTCTTCGTAGCAGCGCATGCAATGAAATCGACAATATCAGAATAAACATCAATGGCCACGAAATATCAGCCCAAACTAAAATAAGAAATTTAGGTGTGGTGCTAGATCAAGATATGTCAATGAAATACCGTGTATCCAATCTTTGTAAAAATAAATCTATATCTCCAGCTGAAGAAAATAGGGAGCATTAGAAAATATCTATCTGTTGGTGTCACCAAAACTTTAATAACATCACTTTTATTGTCAAGGATTGATTATTGCAATTCCTTACTGGCTGGTGTACCTGATGAACAGTTACAACAACTACAAAGAGTACAAAATATTGCTGCCAAAATAATTACTAAAAAACTAAAGCATGATCATGTGACTCCTATTTTAAAAGCATTACACTGGCTCCCAGTGAAAGAGCGTATCATATATAAAATCTGTTTAACTTGCTACAAGTGCTTAAATGATTTATCACCGGACTATCTAAAACAGCTTTTAACACCCTATGTGCCTCCTAGAACGCTCAGATCATCATGTGACAAAACAACCCTTGTTAAGCCTAAAATAAATTACAAATCATATGGCCAACGCTCTTTTTCATATTTTGCCCTACTTGTTTGGAATAGGCTTCCAAAAACTATCAGAGAAGCAGAAAATCTAGAAATTTTTAAGAAGAAACTAAAATCATTTCTATTTTCATCATATTTCGATTAGACAGAATGCATCCAAGCTGTAGATCGTTGTGAGTTTGTTTGTGCGTATGTGCATATGTACGTATGTGTGTATGTGAGTATGTACGTGCGTGTGGTGTGTGCGTGAGTGAATATGTGTTTGCATGAGTATGTAACACTATGTACCTTTAAAATTGATTTGTAAATCCATTATATGTGTCATGTTAAGCGCATAGAGCATTGCATAAGTGATGCGCTATATAAATGCAATCCATTATTAAATTTAATTATTATTATTTTTATTAATAGTGAGACACAGGCTGTTCTCACCCCTGGTGAGAAGAGCCACTTCCAATTTCAATTTCAGCATGAGGCCTTAACCCTCGTCCTGCGGGGCCGAGTTTATGTCGCCCAATAAGCCTATTTCGGCACCTCGTCTTCGTTCTAGTCCCACGTCAGTCTGGCCCCTGGATCAAGCAATGCGTGCCGAGTATCATCTCCCGTTCAAATCGGGTCCCGCGTCAGTCTGCTTGAGTTTGTGGTCTTCTTCTAGAACCGCCAGCGTTCGTTCGTAACCGACATACGTCTCATTCAAAACACGCCAAGTTGGTAGCTCTAGATGTTCGTCCAATAAAATTATAGAACAAATTGACCCACTTAGACATGAGGAGCTCGAAAGGATCTATTAGTCAGGAAACAAGACTTTCATTTTTCTATACAAAATCTTTCAAATGAGCTTGATTTTGAATGAAATGATACTACATGATAAAAAATAAGCTTGTTTGATAGTTTTGAATACCATTGTGCAGGTAAAAAGAACAATTTGAGGCAAAACATTCGAAAATTGACCTATATTATCCCCTTTCGAACCTCAGGTCATTCATAACAACAAGAGCGTCTAAAAAGGTTATAAATATTCGAAAGGGCGTAGCTACTCGTAAGGTCTCATCAATTTATGAGAGGGGTTTATTTGTGTGTTCGTAACACTTTATAAATAGAAAGCTATCAGATAGATATGTAGTCTAGATTGTTATTTTCATCATCAATTAACACACTCCCACAGTATTCATGGCGACAACACACGTTTCCAGGCGTGCTCGCTGTACACCAACAGTACACACTGAGTGAACCAGGCAGCCTGCCCAGAACGTCCGACCTAATCGGTTGCTGATAAGATTCGCATCTCAGCCAAAGAGTCTACATAATAAGAGGGGCCACTCCTCTCTTTGAGCAAATTAAAAAAGTGTCCTCAAAATTCGGTGGTGCCC